TAGGCTATCCGACCACCCGTAACGTGTGTAAACCTGTATGTGTCTTGTGTTTTGTTTTAGCGAAGATGGCGGACGTTTCCGAGCGAAAAGGTATATGACGAACAACGTATATAAGGAACCGATTTGTCCGGTCCCTTGTACTTCGCTATATCCATGTTCTACTGTACTTATACTGGTAGAATAGGTCTTCAGCAACCCATGCTTGCCGTAAAAGGTGACTATGCTTGTCGTAAAAGGCGACTAACAGGATCGGGTGGTCAGGCTCGCTGACTTGGTTGATGAATGTCATTGATCCCAATTGCGTGGATCGATGCTCATGATAATAATCACTGGATTGTCTGGCCCAGACTCGATTATTTACAGACCGCCGCCATATAGCTGGAGTATTGCTGAATGCGGCGTTAAACAACAAACCAACCAACCAACTATAATACTGAATTATATGCTTCATATATTCAATTCAAAACGTCAAGGAATAAGAGAACAGTTAGCCTCGAAAATCTGTCGAAATGGATTTCAAAGGTGATGAGACCGCCTCCGTGGTCTAGTGGTAGAGCGTCCGCCCGGAGAGCGGAAGGTCCGGGGTTCGGGGCTCCTACTACAAAACCAGCTGTGAATATGTAAATGTCAGTATATCCTCATTGGCTTTGACCGCGGATTTATCTGGGAACTGCAGTATATTTTCGCCATTCAAACACTTTTTTATCAGACTTCATGTCACGCCTCAGTATATCTATGAGCAGGGTTGGCAAAGCCTTCTTTAACACAGTACCAAAATATTATATTCAATGTTTGAAGTTAATTTCGGAATATAGCTGTACCTCAATTGTGCATGAATATCTTGCAAGAAATTTAAGTGGCCCTTCCACAATTTCGATGTTTTTCGATCACTTGCATATTGAAACCGGAAGGTACCAGAATGAGGTCGATTATGCTCTTATTGCTCTTCTTATAAACATTTATGCACCAAATATAGACAAGAAGAACTCCGTGTACTCAAAATCTAGCTTGTACAATTATCATTATATGGACCGCCTCCGTGATCTAGTGGTAGAGCATCCGCCCGGAGAGCGGAAGGTTAAGGGTTCGATCCCCGGCCGCGTCATACCAATAGACGTTAAAAGATGGTACTTGTTGTTACCCTGTCTGGCGCTCGGCATTAAGGGGCTAAAACAAGGACTGGTCGGCTCGAAGTCAGTATACTGTGTCTGAGTGGGGTATTCATGTTAAACTGCGGCATGTTATCTCAGTGTGCTAGCACTATAAATCGGCATCAGTCCGGACTAGTACAAGCAGCCACACACACACACACGTGCATGCACGTCCCTATATAAGTGCAATAATCTTGGACGCGACGCTAAACCCCATTTCACCTCACCTCACCTCACAGGTGATGAAACTAAATGAATGGATCACCGAAAACAGTGACCCCAGCTGTTCGCGAAAAGGGTAAGAATGTCCGTGTTCGAGCAGCAGCATCCGTCTCTCACTCGTTTTTCATAAAATAGTAAGTGCCAGTGGTCATATCCTATGTCAAGGTGGGGGCACGGGTGGCCCAGTCGTCCAAGGCGCCGCGATTCGCTGTGCAGAGTTGCGTCCCTTGGGCACGCCAGAAACCTATGATTGTGGGTTCGAATCCCGGTTCGCCCCAATTATGTTTCTAGGTTTGTCAGCACCATACCCGTGCTCGTTGGTTTCACCGAAGTGGTAAACGTCTGAGACCTGCATCACTTCGGGCTTTCCTCTCACATTAAGCTGACACGCCACGATATGACTGGAATACTGTTAAAAGCGGCGTTAAACCCAACTCACTCACTCACTCACTATGTCAAGGTCTAAGCATGGATTATATTTAGCACCATGCATCAAGTTGACCGGCGACGTGCATGCCTCTCAATGGCCACACATTGCCTTCCTTGTGGTAAGTTAAGAATTCATAAAGACTGTATTGGGCTGTGGGGCTGTAGGTTCATGTTACACGTGACACTTTTATAAAGTATGAACTAATTGGAAAAAGATGAATCGATGTGGTCCGTTGAACAACATTTGAAAATTGTTCCCGGTAGATAGAACCGTATTTTGAAAGATGGAAACAAATCTTCGATGTTACGGCATGGGAAGTTTAAATTATCCTCAATGATTCTCATTAAGCATTATTATGTTTGCTAGTTAACGGCAATCATTCCATTGTTTACAATGTCCGTGATGTTGCCTATATCAACTTGACGTTGGGGTGCATGGTTGATGCATGTCATCGTATCCCGATTGCGTAGAGCGATGCTCATGATGTCAATCACTGATGTGTCTGGATCAGACTCGATTGTATATAGACGTTACAAAACAAACAAACCATCAACTTATTGATAAACTTTCGACCGAAGTCTATTTTATATTCATCTGCCCGCATAAATCGTATTTAAGACAAAGGTATTATTGTCAGATTGTATATCAATCCGTCTGTCAATTCAATCTCTTAAATAGAAGATATGACTGTATACTCAGAAATATAGCTAAGTATGTGAAGGAAGCTCTATTACCACGTACAAAGACCAAGTATTGTTTTCAATATTATTGCCTCAATTGTGTGTGCATGGGCCCATGGTAATCCCATACATGAAGAAAATCTTGCTCGTTAAAAGATTATCGGCACGTCTGCAAACAGATCACACATGTCTCTGCATCTCTATGGCGCACGAGAACCCAAATTAAAGAGATCGAATCCCAACTTCCTTCTGATTATGGTTCTAGGTTTCTCATGGGTTTTACCACAGTGGGGAGCTTCATATTAGTATGTTTTATTCTGACTTCAGAAAAAGTCACCCAGTGATCTTTGAACCAAGGCCCGCCAGGGAAATGAAGCTACCAACTCTATCATCTTTTTATAGAACGCTGATAATACGTTGAGCGTGCAAACATCCGGTACACTCGAATAATCAAATATCTGGCCTAAGAATCAGTTTCAGCTTTCTCATGTTTCATGGCCTACAAAAAATGTTATTCGTCTCAGTTTATTAAATATACTACATCATTTGTATAACTATAAAAAAAACGTAAACATCCCACCTGCCAGAGAAAATATATTACATTTCATAGATAAAGAATCCTTGTTTTACCCTTGGAGAGATATGAACCCAGACGAGGGACGATATACGTGGAGACAAACCAAACCCATAAAACAAGCCAGATTAGATTACTTCTTGTTGTCAAGAGACCTTGACAAATCCGTAGATACAGTTGGTATAGACCCTGCTTACAGATCAGATCACTCTATACATTGGATCTCGTTTAAACTTATTAGTATCGAGAAAGGATTAGGCTATTGGAAGTTTGATAATTTCCTACTAAACCACAAAACGTTTGTTTAAAAAACTAAAGAAGTAATTAAAAATACAATTTAACAATATAAAACGGGTGTCGACGAGCAAAGCAATGACAGATTTAATATAGACGACCAACTGTTTTTCGAAACATTAATGTTGATGATAAGAGGTCAAACTATAAAATACCCCTCGAAAAGGAAACAAAAGCGAGAACTGAAAGAAAACGACTTACAAAAACATATCGAAGAATTGCAAATCAGTCCAGACACCTCAAAGGATATAGAAATTAAAATCGAAATACGAAAAAAAATGAAAATGGCAAACACTGAACTGGAAGAAATAAATAACATAAAAGAAGGAATAAGCATGCGATCTCGGGCAGAATGGAGAGAAATGGGCGAAAAAAAACCAACAAAATAATGTCTCCTATAAGATGGCATCAGCAACAATAGCATATAGATTATAAAAAGTTCTGCCAACAATAGTTAACGAAGATCAAAGAGGTTTTATGTCAAAACGATGCACTGGAGAATACACCTGATTAATTTATGATATTATGGACTTTACTGAATGCATGGTAATCCCAGGGTTCCTGTTACTTATAGACTTGGAAAAGGCGTTCGATTCAGTAGACTGGGTTTTCATCCAAGAAGCTTTGACCTTTTTTTTAATTTTGGACCTTCAGTTAAGCAGTGGATAACAACCTTCTATCACGCTATAAAAGCGGTTTTGCTTCAGAAGTTTTAAATTAACAAGAGGATGTAGACAAGGTGACCCGTTCTCTCCTTTTATATTCTTGTTATGCGCTGAAAGTTTGGCAATAATGAAACACTTTGTTTTCGTTTTACATGGAACAGTAAACCAGACAAATTCAGAAGAAATATTATGATGAAATCTTATGAAAAGGGAGGTATAAGAGTGTCTGATATTAAACATACAATCAATGCTCAAAAGATGTCTTGGATTAAAGTTTGTTCCATTCACATCTACACTCTAAACTTACAACTCATGATTAATAATATAACTCCAACACAAATAGATTTTCTGCAAAATTGTCATTTCTACATTTTGGAAAAGGTTATAAATGATAGGACCAATGCTTTCTGGAAAGATGTTCTGTGTGCATGGGGAAACGTAATGGAAAAAAAGGAAATTCACTCAAAGGGGAAAAATATATATTATAACCCTTATGGCTAAATACGAATATAAGAATTGGGAACACTCCGGTATATTATAAACATTACTCGGGAAAAGGTATTAATCATGTAAATGATTTGACAGACGAGAGCGGAATTTTTCTAGGTCTTTTCAACCTAAAACATGCATACGACTTTAAAACACATTTTCCGGAATATTTAAGTCTTATCCAAGCAATAAAACAATATCTAAAGTGTAAGAGTATACCCCTAACATCTAAGTTACATCTGCCCTTAATACCATATTTCCTTGAAAACTGAGTGGAGAGAGGGGAGGTAGTGTATTTTATGATATTTTAAATAAAGTATCCAACAATATGATATACTCAAAATACATTCAGATTTGAACTAGATCTTGGCCTTAACATGACGGAAAAAGATTGGCAAACGATTAATCGTAGCCCCCACAGATATAATGTGTCCTCAAAACAAAAATGGTTCCAATACAGTATTATTCATACAATTATACCAACAAACGAGTTTCTGTAGGAAATGGGATATAAAGAATCATTTCTTTGCATTTTTTGTAAACGAGAAAAATAAACCTTAGTGCACATGTTCTTTGGGTGCAAAATTGGAAAACATATCACGAACAACCTTACAAACTGGATCAAAGACAAAACTGGAATAGAACTAGAATTTTCAAAATTGACAATTTTATTAGGGTATCAACAAAAACGAAATGATGTATTAAATCATATTATAACTGTAACAAAGCAAAACATGTAAACATTTCCGACTCAATACCAAATCACCCACACATCAAACAAGAAATAACCGATTCATATTACATCGACAGAAATATATTATATTTACAATGTAAATACACATAGTTCATGACAATTTGGTCTCTCTGTCACCACCTATTCGTGTAAACCTACGAACTTTCACAATCCAACAATATGATACTGGAATAGCTTTTGTTTGTTATCATCCATAGGTATACTTTGAAACTTGTATTTAAGATTGCATGTGAACCATATTCTGTAAACTTATTGTTTGTGTACTCTAAAAAAAAAAATAATTAAAAATAAAACTACACGATAAATTGTAGAAAGATCCAAGATTCCTCGCTGGACATCGTTTGTTATGGACAACCTGTGAAATGGAATATACATCGATAGACATGCTTTAACAAACAAACAGGCAACAAACGCATAGTTTTACTTTTACTTTTACGCAAAGTGTGTGAGTGACCGTCTCTTGCCACCAGTAAGGAATGACATATTTAACATTTTCGCAAACACCTGATTTTTGGTGATCCATTAATATAATGTTAAGTGCTATTTTCATTGTAAGCACAAAGGAATCTGTTTCGTGGGATAATCGACACTGGTTAGTCCCTGGCGTTGACGTTTTTATATTAAACTCAATTCAAAATTCCATATCGAACTTAGGTTCCGACAACAACAGTCATGTGTAAGTTATTTTAATCTGAATATTGACAATGAACTTCACACGTGTACATATGTGGTGTGAACAATATCACAACAATATGTACCTACAGCGTCTTTGATTATATAACTTGCACCGACACCATACATTGTCAATGTGTTGTCAATATGTGATACCCTGACTATGATCGCTGACATATCCAGATCCTTATCGTGTTACCAATCATCAAAGAATATCTGCCACGTTTTGCTTCTCTAAAGCAAGTCGCTATATAGCTGAAATAATGCCGATGCGAGTTTAATGTTAACTCACTCACTCGGAAGCAAATCGTGAAGAACTTCGTTCAAAGAACTTTATGATCAAACTGATTTGCTTTTTTGGTCGTTCGAAACGTAAACTCCAGAGAATAATCAATCTCTAATATCTGCCAAAACAGTTTTACATAGGGCGTAAAACACAGCGAAGCAAATTCTATGACTGGATCACTGAATGTCGGTGATGACACATGGTATTCGCGACAAGGGAAAGCATACAATGCTTCCTATATGCTAACTATGGCGTTTGTTTGTTGTTTAACTCCGCACTTAGCAACATTCAAGCTAAATGACAGCGGTCTGTAAATAATCGAATCTGCACCAGACAATCCAGTGATTGACATCATGAGCATCGATCCACACAATTGGGATACGATGACATGCATCAACCGAGTCAGCGAGCCTGACCACCCGATACCGCTAGTCACCTCTTACGACAAGCACAGTCGCCTTTTACGACAAGCATGGGTTGCTGAAGACCTATTCTAAACGGATCTTCACGGGGCTGCTAACTATGCAGTAAGACATGATAATGTTATGTTTCACTCGCCTGATTTATAGATAGCACGACGGATATCTTCATGTCACAGACCAATAGATACCGCAACATGATATTGGCCTCAATTGGAAAGGGGTGACCTAAATTGAATTAGTCAGTTAGAAATAAATATTAACATTTAGGCACATACCCGCACAAGTTCCGGCTATGCCATCACCAAAGAACCCGTCATTGCAAAAACAATTAAATCCTCCAGTTGCTGTTGGTGTACAGAAAGCGTCATCATCACAATTGTTGTTTGAGCTTGAGAGGCACGGGTTCACTAAAACAACATCAGAGTGTGAGTGTCACCTGATAAGACATGTCGTGTTTCAGTAATAAAAATCTGAACAACTTGAAGACAATACATTTAGAATCTGCCATGTAATAATAGTCACTTGAATGTTTTTAGCTCGCAGCAACACTAACTGGATAAAGTTTGTCTAATCAATCTTCACATGCAGACACCTACCAAAACAGTTGGTGCCATCGCCAACAAATCCAGCAATGCAAGAACAGGTAAAGTTTCCACTCGCAGTTGGAGTACAGGCCGCGTTGACATCACAATTGTTGTTTGAGCTTAAAATGCACGGGTTGACTGAAACAGCATTATTCCGATTGTGGTTATGATAGTCATCTGGTAACACACGTGTATTAACTATATATTTATCTGAACAATGTAAAGTCAATTTCCTTGAAAACTTAAAAGTGTATCTAACCAGTTGGTACATTTGATACTTTTTTTCGCGGAACCTTATATGGATGAGGTTCGTCGAATCGGTCTACACATGTAGGCACCTACCAAAACAGTTGGTGCCATCGCCAACATATCCATCATTACAAGAACAAGTAAACGCTCCATTCGCCGTTGGAGTGCAGGCAGCGTTGATGTCACAATTGTTGTTTGAAGTAGAAAGGCACGGGTTCACTGAAACAGCATCATTTAGAGTGTGGTTATGATGGTCATCTGATAACATATGTGTGTTAACTGTAACTTTATCTAAACAATGTAAAGTCAAAGTTTATGAAAGATTAAATATGTATCAAACCGAGTAGTCACTTCGATCTTTATTTATTCGGAGTAACCTCATAAGGATGAGGTTCGTGTGATTGTTCTACACGTACAGGCACCTACCAAAACAGTTGGTGCAATCGCCAACAAATCCATCATTGTAAAAACAGTTAATTGTGAAAAAAGTATCTATGAGGAATGAAATATTTACCATCACAAATAGTCAGTTGTATCGCATTTTGTTAAGAAGAACCCTTAAATTTCACATGTTTTCCCAAAGCGTCGTCGCATGCAGGCACCTACCAAAACAATTTGTGCCATTGCCAACAAATCCAACATTACAAGCACAGTTAAACGCTCCATTCTCCGTTGGAGTACAGGCAGCGTTGACATCACAATTGTTGTTTGAGCTTAAGAGGCACGGGTTTCCTGAAACAGCACCATTCAGAGTGTGGCTATGATGGTCATCTGATAACACACGTGTATTAACTGTATATTTATCTAAACAATGTGAGGCCAGTGTGTATGAAATATGAAATAGGTATCAAACCAATTAGTCGCTTTGACCTTGATTTACTTGCAGTAACATTATATGGATGAGGTTCATCGAATCGGTCTACACATGTAGGCACCTACCAAAACAGTTGGTGCCATCGCCAACAAATCCATCATTGCAAAAACAATTAAATGTGAAGACAATATCTATGAGGAATGAAATATTTACCATCACAAATAGTCAGTTGTATCGCATTTTGTTAAGAAGAACCCTTAAATTTCACATGTTTTCCCAAAGCGTCGTCGCATGCAGGCACCTACCAAAACAGTTTGTGCCATTGCCAACAAATCCAACATTACAAGTACAGTTAAACGCTCCATTCTCCGTTGGAGTACAGGCAGCGTTGACATCACAATTGTTGTTTGAGCTTAAGAGGCACGGGTTTCCTGAAACAGCACAATTCAGAGTGTGGCTATGATGGTCATCTGATAACACACGTGTATTAACTGTATATTTATCTAAACAATGTGAGGCCAGTGGGTATGAAACATGAAATAGGTATCAAACCAATTAGTCGCTTTGATCTTAATTTATTTGCAGTAACATTATATGGATGAGGTTCATCGAATCGGTCTACACATGTAGGCACCTACCAAAACAGTTGGTGCCATCGCCAACAAATCCATCATTACAAGAACAAGTAAACGCTCCATTCGCCGTTGGAGTGCAGGCAGCGTTGATGTCACAATTGTTGTTTGAAGTAGAAAGGCACGGGTTCACTGAAACAGCATCATTTAGAGTGTGGTTATGATGGTCATCTGATAACATATGTATGTTCACTGTAACTTTATCTAAACTATGTAAAGCCAAAGTTTATGAAAGATTAAATATGTATCAAACCGAGTAGTCACTTCGATCTTTATTTATTCGGAGTAACCTCATAAGGATGAGGTTCGTGTGATTGTTCTGCATGTACAGGCACCTACCAAAACAGTTGGTGCAATCGCCAACAAATCCATCCTTGCAAAAACAGTTAAATGTGAAGACAATATCTATGAGGAATGAAATAGTTACCATAACAAAATAATCAGTTGTATCGCATTTTGTTAAAAAGAAAACTTAAATTTCACATGTTTTCCCAAAGCGTCGTCGCATGCAGGCACCTACCAAAACAGTTTGTGCCATTGCCAACAAATCCAACATTACAAGTACAGTTAAACGCTCCATTCTCCGTTGGAGTACAGGCAGCGTTGACATCACAATTGTTGTTTGAGCTTAAGAGGCACGGGTTTCCTGAAACAGCACCATTCAGAGTGTGGCTATGATGGTCATCTGATAACACACGTGTATTAACTGTATATTTATCTAAACAATGTGAGGCCAGTGTGTATGAAACATGAAATAGGTATCAAACCAATTAGTCGCTTTGATCTTAATTTATTTGCAGTAACATTATATGGATGAGGTTCATCGAATCGGTCTACACATGTAGGCACCTACCAAAACAGTTGGTGCCATCGCCAACAAATGCATCATTACAAGAACAAGTAAACGCTCCATTCGCCGTTGGAGTGCAGGCAGCGTTGATGTCACAATTGTTGTTTGAAGTAGAAAGGCACGGGTTCACTGAAACAGCATCATTTAGAGTGTGGTTATGACGGTCATCTGATAACATATGTATGTTCACTGTAACTTTATCTAAACTATATAAAGCCAAAGTTTATGAAAGATTAAATATGTATCAAACCGAGTAGTCACTTCGATCTTTATTTATTCGGAGTAACCTCATAAGGATGAGGTTCGTGTGATTGTTCTGCATGTACAGGCACCTACCAAAACAGTTGGTGCAATCGCCAACAAATCCATCCTTGCAAAAACAGTTAAATGTGAAGACAATATCTATGAGGAATGAAATAGTTACCATAACAAAATAATCAGTTGTATCGCATTTTGTGAAAAAGAAAACTTAAATTTCACATGTTTTCCCAAAGCGTCGTCGCATGCAGGCACCTACCAAAACAGTTTGTGCCATTGCCAACAAATCCAACATTACAAGTACAGTTAAACGCTCCATTCTCCGTTGGAGTACAGGCAGCGTTGACATCACAATTGTTGTTTGAGCTTAAGAGGCACGGGTTTCCTGAAACAGCACAATTCAGAGTGTGGCTATGATGGTCATCTGATAACACACGTGTATTAACTGTATATTTATCTAAACAATGTGAGGCCAGTGGGTATGAAACATGAAATAGGTATCAAACCAATTAGTCGCTTTGATCTTAATTTATTTGCAGTAAAATTATATGGATGAGGTTCATCGAATCGGTCTACACATGTAGGCACCTACCAAAACAGTTGGTGCCATCGCCAACAAATCCATCATTACAAGAACAAGTAAACGCTCCATTCGCCGTTGGAGTGCAGGCAGCGTTGATGTCACAATTGTTGTTTGAAGTAGAAAGGCACGGGTTCACTGAAACAGCATCATTTAGAGTGTGGTTATGATGGTCATCTGATAACATATGTATGTTCACTGTAACTTTATCTAAACTATGTAAAGCCAAAGTTTATGAAAGATTAAATATGTATCAAACCGAGTAGTCACTTCGATCTTTATTTATTCGGAGTAACCTCATAAGGATGAGGTTCGTGTGATTGTTCTGCATGTACAGGCACCTACCAAAACAGTTGGTGCAATCGCCAACAAATCCATCATTGCAAAAACAGTTAAATGTGAAGACAATATCTATGAGGAATGAAATAGTTACCATAACAAAATAATCAGTTGTATCGCATTTTGTTAAAAAGAAAACTTAAATTTCACATGTTTTCCCAAAGCGTCGTCGCATGCAGGCACCTACCAAAACAGTTTGTGCCATTGCCAACAAATCCAACATTACAAGTACAGTTAAACGCTCCATTCTCCGTTGGAGTACAGGCAGCGTTGACATCACAATTGTTGTTTGAGCTTAAGAGGCACGGGTTTCCTGAAACAGCATCATTCAGAGTGTGGCTATGATGGTCATCTGATAACACACGTGTATTAACTGTATATTTATCTAAACAATGTGAGGCCAGTGGGTATGAAACATGAAATAGGTATCAAACCAATTAGTCGCTTTGATCTTAATTTATTTGCAGTAACATTATATGGATGAGGTTCATCGAATCGGTCTACACATGTAGGCACCTACCAAAACAGTTGGTGCCATCGCCAACAAATCCATCATTACAAGAACAAGTAAACGCTCCATTCGCCGTTGGAGTGCAGGCAGCGTTGATGTCACAATTGTTGTTTGAAGTAGAAAGGCACGGGTTCACTGAAACAGCATCATTTAGAGTGTGGTTATGATGGTTATCTGATAACATATGTATGTTCACTGTAACTTTATCTAAACTATGTAAAGCCAAAGTTTATGAAAGATTAAATATGTATCAAACCGAGTAGTCACTTCGATCTTTATTTATTCGGAGTAACCTCATAAGGATGAGGTTCATGTGATTGTTCTACATGTACAGGCACCTACCAAAACAGTTGGTGCAATCGCCAACAAATCCATCATTGCAAAAACAATTAAATGTGAAGACAATATCTATGAGGAATGAAATATTTACCATCACAAATAGTCAGTTGTATCGCATTTTGTTAAGAAGAACCCTTAAATTTCACATGTTTCCCCAAAGCGTCGTCGCATGCAGGCACCTACCAAAACAGTTTGTGCCATTGCCAACAAATCCAACATTACAAGTACAGTTAAACGCTCCATTCTCCGTTGGAGTACAGGCAGCGTTGACATCACAATTGTTGTTTGAGCTTAAGAGGCACGGGTTTCCTGAAACAGCACCATTCAGAGTGTGGCTATGATGGTCATCTGATAACACACGTGTATTAACTGTATATTTATCTAAACAATGTGAGGCCAGTGTGTATGAAATATGAAATAGGTATCAATCCAATTAGTCGCTTTGATCTTACTCTATTTGCAGTAACCTTAAATGGATGAGGTTCATCGAATCGGTCTACACATGTAGGCACCTACCAAAACAGTTGGTGCCATCGCCAACAAATCCATCATTACAAGAACAAGTAAACGCTCCATTCGCCGTTGGAGTGCAGGCAGCGTTGATGTCACAATTGTTGTTTGAAGTAGAAAGACACGGGTTCACTGAAACAGCATCATTTAGAGTGTGGTTATGATGGTCATCTGATAACATATGTATGTTCACTGTAACTTTATCTAAACTATGTAAAGCCAAAGTTTATGAAAGATTAAATATGTATCAAACCGAGTAGTCACTTCGATCTTTATTTATTCGGAGTAACCTCATAAGGATGAGGTTCGTGTGATTGTTCTACATGTACAGGCACCTACCAAAACAGTTGGTGCAATCGCCAACAAATCCATCATTGCAAAAACAGTTAAATGTGAAGACAATATCTATGAGGAATGAAATAGTTACCATAACAAAATAATCAGTTGTATCGCATTTTGTTAAAAAGAAAACTTAAATTTCACATGTTTTCCCAAAGCGTCGTCGCATGCAGGCACCTACCAAAACAGTTTGTGCCATTGCCAACAAATCCAACATTACAAGTACAGTTAAACGCTCCATTCTCCGTTGGAGTACAGGCAGCGTTGACATCACAATTGTTGTTTGAGCTTAAGAGGCACGGGTTTCCTGAAACAGCACCATTCAGAGTGTGGCTATGATGGTCATCTGATAACACACGTGTATTAACTGTATATTTATCTAAACAATGTGAGGCCAGTGTGTATGAAACATGAAATAGGTATCAAACCAATTAGTCGCTTTGATCTTAATTTATTTGCAGTAACATTATATGGATGAGGTTCATCGAATCGGTCTACACATGTAGGCACCTACCAAAACAGTTGGTGCCATCGCCAACAAATCCATCATTACAAGAACAAGTAAACGCTCCATTCGCCGTTGGAGTGCAGGCAGCGTTGATGTCACAATTGTTGTTTGAAGTAGAAAGGCACGGGTTCACTGAAACAGCATCATTTAGAGTGTGGTTATGATGGTCATCTGATAACATATGTATGTTCACTGTAACTTTATCTAAACTATGTAAAGCCAAAGTTTATGAAAGATTAAATATGTATCAAACCGAGTAGTCACTTCGATCTTTATTTATTCGGAGTAACCTCATAAGGATGAGGTTCGTGTGATTGTTCTGCATGTACAGGCACCTACCAAAACAGTTGGTGCAATCGCCAACAAATCCATCATTGCAAAAACAGTTAAATGTGAAGACAATATCTATGAGGAATGAAATAGTTACCATAACAAAATAATCAGTTGTATCGCATTTTGTTAAAAAGAAAACTTAAATTTCACATGTTTTCCCAAAGCGTCGTCGCATGCAGGCACCTACCAAAACAGTTTGTGCCATTGCCAACAAATCCAACATTACAAGTACAGTTAAACGCTCCATTCTCCGTTGGAGTACAGGCAGCGTTGACATCACAATTGTTGTTTGAGCTTAAGAGGCACGGGTTTCCTGAAACAGCACCATTCAGAGTGTGGCTATGATGGTCATCTGATAACACACGGGTATTAACTGTATATTTATCTAAACAATGTGAGGCCAGTGGGTATGAAACATGAAATAGGTATCAAACCAATTAGTCGCTTTGATCTTAATTTATTTGCAGTAACATTATATGGATGAGGTTCATCGAATCGGTCTACACATGTAGGCACCTACCAAAACAGTTGGTGCCATCGCCAACAAATCCATCATTACAAGAACAAGTAAACGCTCCATTCGCCGTTGGAGTGCAGGCAGCGTTGATGTCACAATTGTTGTTTGAAGTAGAAAGGCACGGGTTCACTGAAACAGCATCATTTAGAGTGTGGTTATGATGGTCATCTGATAACATATGTATGTTCACTGTAACTTTATCTAAACTATGTAAAGCCAAAGTTTATGAAAGATTAAATATGTATCAAACCGAGTAGTTACTTCGATCTTTATTTATTCGGAGTAACCTCATAAGGATGAGGTTCATGTGATTGTTCTACATGTACAGGCACCTACCAAAACAGTTGGTGCAATCGCCAACAAATCCATCATTGCAAAAACAGTTAAATGTGAAGACAATATCTATGAGGAATGAAATAGTTACCATAACAAAATAATCAGTTGTATCGCATTTTGTTAAAAAGAAAACTTAAATTTCACATGTTTTCCCAAAGCGTCGTCGCATGCAGGCACCTACCAAAACAGTTTGTGCCATTGCCAACAAATCCAACATTACAAGTACAGTTAAACGCTCCATTCTCCGTTGGAGTACAGGCAGCGTTGACATCACAATTGTTGTTTGAGCTTAAGAGGCACGGGTTTCCTGAAACAGCACCATTCAGAGTGTGGCTATGATGGTCATCTGATAACACACGTGTATTAACTGTATATTTATCTAAACAATGTGAGGCCAGTGTGTATGAAATATGAAATAGGTATCAAACCAATTAGTCGCTTTGACCTTGATTTATTTGCAGTAACCTTATATGGATGAGGTTCATCGAATCGGTCTACACATGTAGGCACCTACCAAAACAGTTGGTGCAATCGCCAGCAAATCCATCATTGCAAAAACAATTAAATGTGAAGACAATATCTATGAGGAATGAAATATTTACCATCACAAATAGTCAGTTGTATCGCATTTTGTTAAGAAGAACCCTTAAATTTCACATGTTTCCCCAAAGCGTCGTCGCATGCAGGCACCTACCAAAACAGTTTGTGCCATTGCCAACAAATCCAACATTACAAGTACAGTTAAACGCTCCATTCTCCGTTGGAGTACAGGCAGCGTTGACATCACAATTGTTGTTTGAGCTTAAGAGGCACGGGTTTCCTGAAACAGCACCATTCAGAGTGTGGCTATGATGGTCATCTGATAACACACGTGTATTAACTGTATATTTATCTAAACAATGTGAGGCCAGTGTGTATGAAATATGAAATAGGTATCAATTCAATTAGTCGCTTTGATCTTACTCTATTTGCAGTAACCTTAAATGGATGAGGTTCATCGAATCGGTCTACACATGTAGGCACCTACCAAAACAGTTGGTGCCATCGCCAACAAATCCATCATTACAAGAACAAGTAAACGCTCCATTCGCCGTTGGAGTGCAGGCAGCGTTGATGTCACAATTGTTGTTTGAAGTAGAAAGACACGGGTTCACTGAAACAGCATCATTTAGAGTGTGGTTATGATGGTTATCTGATAACATATGTATGTTCACTGTAACTTTATCTAAACTATGTAAAGCCAAAGTTTATGAAAGATTAAATATGTATCAAACCGAGTAGTCACTTCGATCTTTATTTATTCGGAGTAACCTCATAAGGATGAGGTTCGTGTGATTGTTCTGCATGTACAGGCACCTACCAAAACAGTTGGTGCAATCGCCAACAAATCCATCCTTGCAAAAACAGTTAAATGTGAAGACAATATCTATGAGGAATGAAATAGTTACCATAACAAAATAATCAGTTGTATCGCATTTTGTTAAAAAGAAAACTTAAATTTCACATGTTTTCCCAAAGCGTCGTCGCATGCAGGCACCTACCAAAACAGTTTGTGCCATTGCCAACAAATCCAACATTACAAGTACAGTTAAACGCTCCATTCTCCGTTGGAGTACAGGCAGCGTTGACATCACAATTGTTGTTTGAGCTTAAGAGGCACGGGTTTCCTGAAACAGCACCATTCAGAGTGTGGCTATGATGGTCATCTGATAACACACGTGTATTAACTGTATATTTATCTAAACAATGTGAGGCCAGTGTGTATGAAACATGAAATAGGTATCAAACCAATTAGTCGCTTTGATCTTAATTTATTTGCAGTAACATTATATGGATGAGGTTCATCGAATCGGTCTACACATGTAGGCACCTACCAAAACAGTTGGTGCCATCGCCAACAAATCCATCATTACAAGAACAAGTAAACGCTCCATTCGCCGTTGGAGTGCAGGCAGCGTTGATGTCACAATTGTTGTTTGAAGTAGAAAGACACGGGTTCACTGAAACAGCATCATTTAGAGTGTGGTTATGATGGTCATCTGATAACATATGTATGTTCACTGTAACTTTATCTAAACTATGTAAAGCCAAAGTTTATGAAAGATTAAATATGTATCAAACCGAGTAGTCACTTCGATCTTTATTTATTCGGAGTAACCTCATAAGGATGAGGTTCGTGTGATTGTTCTGCATGTACAGGCACCTACCAAAACAGTTGGTGCAATCGCCAACAAATCCATCATTGCAAAAACAGTTAAATGTGAAGACAATATCTATGAGGAATGAAATAGTTACCATAACAAAATAATCAGTTGTATCGCATTTTGTTGAAAAGAAAACTTAAATTTCACATGTTTTCCCAAAGCGTCGTCGCATGCAGGCACCTACCAAAACAGTTTGTGCCATTGCCAACAAATCCAACATTACAAGTACAGTTAAACGCTCCATTCTCCGTTGGAGTACAGGCAGCGTTGACATCACAATTGTTGTTTGAGCTTAAGAGGCACGGGTTTCCTGAAACAGCACCATTCAGAGTGTGGCTATGATGGTCATCTGATAACACACGTGTATTAACTGTATATTTATCTAAACAATGTGAGGCCAGTGTGTATGAAACATGAAATAGGTATCAAACCAATTAGTCGCTTTGATCTTAATTTATTTGCAGTAACATTATATGGATGAGGTTCATCGAATCGGTCTACACATGTAGGCACCTACCAAAACAGTTGGTGCCATCGCCAACAAATCCATCATTACAAGAACAAGTAAACGCTCCATTCGCCGTTGGAGTGCAGGCAGCGTTGATGTCACAATTGTTGTTTGAAGTAGAAAGGCACGGGTTCACTGAAACAGCATCATTTAGAGTGTGGTTATGATGGTCATCTGATAACATATGTATGTTCACTGTAACTTTATCTAAACTATGTAAAGCCAAAGTTTATGAAAGATTAAATATGTATCAAACCGAGTAGTCACTTCGATCTTTATTTATTCGGAGTAACCTCATAAGGATGAGGTTCGTGTGATTGTTCTGCATGTACAGGCACCTACCAAAACAGTTGGTGCAATCGCCAACAAATCCATCCTTGCAAAAACAGTTAAATGTGAAGACAATATCTATGAGGAATGAAATAGTTACCATAACAAAATAATCAGTTGTATCGCATTTTGTTAAAAAGAAAACTTAAATTTCACATGTTTTCCCAAAGCGTCGTCGCATGCAGGCACCTACCAAAACAGTTTGTGCCATTGCCAACAAATCCAACATTACAAGTACAGTTAAACGCTCCATTCTCCGTTGGAGTACAGGCAGCGTTGACATCACAATTGTTGTTTGAGCTTAAGAGGCACGGGTTTCCTGAAACAGCACCATTCAGAGTGTGGCTATGATGGTCATCTGATAACACACGTGTATTAACTGTATATTTATCTAAACAATGTGAGGCCAGTGGGTATGAAACATGAAATAGGTATCAAACCAATTAGTCGCTTTGATCTTAATTTATTTGCAGTAACATTATATGGATGAGGTTCATCGAATCGGTCTACACATGTAGGCACCTACCAAAACAGTTGGTGCCATCGCCAACAAATCCATCATTACAAGAACAAGTAAACGCTCCATTCGCCGTTGGAGTGCAGGCAGCGTTGATGTCACAATTGTTGTTTGAAGTAGAAAGGCACGGGTTCACTGAAACAGCATCATTTAGAGTGTGGTTATGATGGTCATCTGATAACATATGTATGTTCACTGTAACTTTATCTAAACTATGTAAAGCCAAAGTTTATGAAAGATTTAATATGTATCAAACCGAGTAGTCACTTCGATCTTTATTTATTCGGAGTAACCTCATAAGGATGAGGTTCGTGTGATTGTTCTGCATGTACAGGCACCTACCAAAACAGTTGGTGCAATCGCCAACAAATCCATCATTGCAAAAACAGTTAAATGTGAAGACAATATCTATGAGGAATGAAATAGTTACCATAACAAAATAATCAGTTGTATCGCATTTTGTTAAAAAGAAAACTTAAATTTCACATGTTTTCCCAAAGCGTCGTCGCATGCAGGCACCTACCAAAACAGTTTGTGCCATTGCCAACAAATCCAACATTACAAGTACAGTTAAACGCTCCATTCTCCGTTGGAGTACAGGCAGCGTTGACATCACAATTGTTGTTTGAGCTTAAGAGGCACGGGTTTCCTGAAACAGCACCATTCAGAGTGTGGCTATGATGGTCATCTGATAACACACGTGTATTTACTGTATATTTATCTAAACAATGTGAGGCCAGTGTGTATGAAATATGAAATAGGTATCAATTCAATTAGTCGCTTTGATCTTACTCTATTTGCAGTAACCTTAAATGGATGAGGTTCATCGAATCGGTCTACACATGTAGGCACCTACCAAAACAGTTGGTGCCATCGCCAACAAATCCATCATTACAAGAACAAGTAAACGCTCCATTCGCCGTTGGAGTGCAGGCAGCGTTGATGTCACAATTGTTGTTTGAAGTAGAAAGACACGGGTTCACTGAAACAGCATCATTTAGAGTGTGGTTATGATGGTTATCTGATAACATATGTATGTTCACTGTAACTTTATCTAAACTATGTAAAGCCAAAGTTTATGAAAGATTAAATATGTATCAAACCGAGTAGTCACTTCGATCTTTATTTATTCGGAGTAACCTCATAAGGATGAGGTTCGTGTGATTGTTCTGCATGTACAGGCACCTACCAAAACAGTTGGTGCAATCGCCAACAAATCCATCCTTGCAAAAACAGTTAAATGTGAAGACAATATCTATGAGGAATGAAATAGTTACCATAACAAAATAATCAGTTGTATCGCATTTTGTTAAAAAGAAAACTTAAATTTCACATGTTTTCCCAAAGCGTCGTCGCATGCAGGCACCTACCAAAACAGTTTGTGCCATTGCCAACAAATCCAACATTACAAGTACAGTTAAACGCTCCATTCTCCGTTGGAGTACAGGCAGCGTTGACATCACAATTGTTGTTTGAGCTTAAGAGGCACGGGTTTCCTGAAACAGCACCATTCAGAGTGTGGCTATGATGGTCATCTGATAACACACGTGTATTAACTGTATATTTATCTAAACAATGTGAGGCCAGTGTGTATGAAACATGAAATAGGTATCAAACCAATTAGTCGCTTTGATCTTAATTTATTTGCAGTAAAATTATATGGATGAGGTTCATCGAATCGGTCTACACATGTAGGCACCTACCAAAACAGTTGGTGCCATCGCCAACAAATCCATCATTACAAGAACAAGTAAACGCTCCATTCGCCGTTGGAGTGCAGGCAGCGTTGATGTCACAATTGTTGTTTGAAGTAGAAAGGCACGGGTTCACTGAAACAGCATCATTTAGAGTGTGGTTATGATGGTCATCTGATAACATATGTATGTTCACTGTAACTTTATCTAAACTATGTAAAGCCAAAGTTTATGAAAGATTAAATATGTATCAAACCGAGTAGTCACTTCGATCTTTATTTATTCGGAGTAACCTCATAAGGATGAGGTTCGTGTGATTGTTCTGCATGTACAGGCACCTACCAAAACAGTTGGTGCAATCGCCAACAAATCCATCATTGCAAAAACAGTTAAATGTGAAGACAATATCTATGAGGAATGAAATAGTTACCATAACAAAATAATCAGTTGTATCGCATTTTGTTAAAAAGAAAACTTAAATTTCACATGTTTTCCCAAAGCGTCGTCGCATGCAGGCACCTACCAAAACAGTTTGTGCCATTGCCAACAAATCCAACATTACAAGTACAGTTAAACGCTCCATTCTCCGTTGGAGTACAGGCAGCGTTGACATCACAATTGTTGTTTGAGCTTAAGAGGCACGGGTTTCCTGAAACAGCACCATTCAGAGTGTGGCTATGATGGTCATCTGATAACACACGTGTATTAACTGTATATTTATCTAAACAATGTGAGGCCAGTGGGTATGAAACATGAAATAGGTATCAAACCAATTAGTCGCTTTGATCTTAATTTATTTGCAGTAACATTATATGGATGAGGTTCATCGAATCGGTCTACACATGTAGGCACCTACCAAAACAGTTGGTGCCATCGCCAACAAATCCATCATTACAAGAACAAGTAAACGCTCCATTCGCCGTTGGAGTGCAGGCAGCGTTGATGTCACAATTGTTGTTTGAAGTAGAAAGGCACGGGTTCACTGAAACAGCATCATTTAGAGTGTGGTTATGATGGTCATCTGATAACATATGTATGTTCACTGTAACTTTATCTAAACTATGTAAAGCCAAAGTTTATGAAAGATTTAATATGTATCAAACCGAGTAGTCACTTCGATCTTTATTTATTCGGAGTAACCTCATAAGGATGAGGTTCGTGTGATTGTTCTGCATGTACAGGCACCTACCAAAACAGTTGGTGCAATCGCCAACAAATCCATCATTGCAAAAACAGTTAAATGTGAAGACAATATCTATGAGGAATGAAATAGTTACCATAACAAAATAATCAGTTGTATCGCATTTTGTTAAAAAGAAAACTTAAATTTCACATGTTTTCCCAAAGCGTCGTCGCATGCAGGCACCTACCAAAACAGTTTGTGCCATTGCCAACAAATCCAACATTACAAGTACAGTTAAACGCTCCATTCTCCGTTGGAGTACAGGCAGCGTTGACATCACAATTGTTGTTTGAGCTTAAGAGGCACGGGTTTCCTGAAACAGCACCATTCAGAGTGTGGCTATGATGGTCATCTGATAACACACGTGTATTAACTGTATATTTATCTAAACAATGTGAGGCCAGTGTGTATGAAACATGAAATAGGTATCAATTCAATTAGTCGCTTTGATCTTACTCTATTTGCAGTAACCTTAAATGGATGAGGTTCATCGAATCGGTCTACACATGTAGGCACCTACCAAAACAGTTGGTGCCATCGCCAACAAATCCATCATTACAAGAACAAGTAAACGCTCCATTCGCCGTTGGAGTGCAGGCAGCGTTGATGTCACAATTGTTGTTTGAAGTAGAAAGACACGGGTTCACTGAAACAGCATCATTTAGAGTGTGGTTATGATGGTTATCTGATAACATATGTATGTTCACTGTAACTTTATCTAAACTATGTAAAGCCAAAGTTTATGAAAGATTAAATATGTATCAAACCGAGTAGTCACTTCGATCTTTATTTATTCGGAGTAACCTCATAAGGATGAGGTTCGTGTGATTGTTCTGCATGTACAGGCACCTACCAAAACAGTTGGTGCAATCGCCAACAAATCCATCCTTGCAAAAACAGTTAAATGTGAAGACAATATCTATGAGGAATGAAATAGTTACCATAACAAAATAATCAGTTGTATCGCTTTTTGTTAAAAAGAAAACTTAAATTTCACATGTTTTCCCAAAGCGTCGTCGCATGCAGGCACCTACCAAAACAGTTTGTGCCATTGCCAACAAATCCAACATTACAAGTACAGTTAAACGCTCCATTCTCCGTTGGAGTACAGGCAGCGTTGACATCACAATTGTTGTTTGAGCTTAAGAGGCACGGGTTTCCTGAAACAGCACCATTCAGAGTGTGGCTATGATGGTCATCTGATAACACACGTGTATTAACTGTATATTTATCTAAACAATGTGAGGCCAGTGTGTATGAAACATGAAATAGGTATCAAACCAATTAGTCGCTTTGATCTTAATTTATTTGCAGTAACATTATATGGATGAGGTTCATCGAATCGGTCTACACATGTAGGCACCTACCAAAACAGTTGGTGCCATCGCCAACAAATCCATCATTACAAGAACAAGTAAACGCTCCATTCGCCGTTGGAGTGCAGGCAGCGTTGATGTCACAATTGTTGTTTGAAGTAGAAAGGCACGGGTTCACTGAAACAGCATCATTTAGAGTGTGGTTATGATGGTCATCTGATAACATATGTATGTTCACTGTAACTTTATCTAAACTATGTAAAGCCAAAGTTTATGAAAGATTAAATATGTATCAAACCGAGTAGTCACTTCGATCTTTATTTATTCGGAGTAACCTCATAAGGATGAGGTTCGTGTGATTGTTCTGCATGTACAGGCACCTACCAAAACAGTTGGTGCAATCGCCAACAAATCCATCCTTGCAAAAACAGTTAAATGTGAAGACAATATCTATGAGGAATGAAATAGTTACCATAACAAAATAATCAGTTGTATCGCATTTTGTTAAAAAGAAAACTTAAATTTCACATGTTTTCCCAAAGCGTCGTCGCATGCAGGCACCTACCAAAACAGTTTGTGCCATTGCCAACAAATCCAACATTACAAGTACAGTTAAACGCTCCATTCTCCGTTGGAGTACAGGCAGCGTTGACATCACAATTGTTGTTTGAGCTTAAGAGGCACGGGTTTCCTGAAACAGCACCATTCAGAGTGTGGCTATGATGGTCATCTGATAACACACGTGTATTAACTGTATATTTATCTAAACAATGTGAGGCCAGTGGGTATGAAACATGAAATAGGTATCAAACCAATTAGTCGCTTTGATCTTAATTTATTTGCAGTAACATTATATGGATGAGGTTCATCGAATCGGTCTACACATGTAGGCACCTACCAAAACAGTTGGTGCCATCGCCAACAAATCCATCATTACAAGAACAAGTAAACGCTCCATTCGCCGTTGGAGTGCAGGCAGCGTTGATGTCACAATTGTTGTTTGAAGTAGAAAGGCACGGGTTCACTGAAACAGCATCATTTAGAGTGTGGTTATGATGGTCATCTGATAACATATGTATGTTCACTGTAACTTTATCTAAACTATGTAAAGCCAAAGTTTATGAAAGATTTAATATGTATCAAACCGAGTAGTCACTTCGATCTTTATTTATTCGGAGTAACCTCATAAGGATGAGGTTCGTGTGATTGTTCTGCATGTACAGGCACCTACCAAAACAGTTGGTGCAATCGCCAACAAATCCATCATTGCAAAAACAGTTAAATGTGAAGACAATATCTATGAGGAATGAAATAGTTACCATAACAAAATAATCAGTTGTATCGCATTTTGTTAAAAAGAAAACTTAAATTTCACATGTTTTCCCAAAGCGTCGTCGCATGCAGGCACCTACCAAAACAGTTTGTGCCATTGCCAACAAATCCAACATTACAAGTACAGTTAAACGCTCCATTCTCCGTTGGAGTACAGGCAGCGTTGACATCACAATTGTTGTTTGAGCTTAAGAGGCACGGGTTTCCTGAAACAGCACCATTCAGAGTGTGGCTATGATGGTCATCTGATAACACACGTGTATTAACTGTATATTTATCTAAACAATGTGAGGCCAGTGTGTATGAAACATGAAATAGGTATCAATTCAATTAGTCGCTTTGATCTTACTCTATTTGCAGTAACCTTAAATGGATGAGGTTCATCGAATCGGTCTACACATGTAGGCACCTACCAAAACAGTTGGTGCCATCGCCAACAAATCCATCATTACAAGAACAAGTAAACGCTCCATTCGCCGTTGGAGTGCAGGCAGCGTTGATGTCACAATTGTTGTTTGAAGTAGAAAGACACGGGTTCACTGAAACAGCATCATTTAGAGTGTGGTTATGATGGTTATCTGATAACATATGTATGTTCACTGTAACTTTATCTAAACTATGTAAAGCCAAAGTTTATGAAAGATTAAATATGTATCAAACCGAGTAGTCACTTCGATCTTTATTTATTCGGAGTAACCTCATAAGGATGAGGTTCGTGTGATTGTTCTGCATGTACAGGCACCTACCAAAACAGTTGGTGCAATCGCCAACAAATCCATCCTTGCAAAAACAGTTAAATGTGAAGACAATATCTATGAGGAATGAAATAGTTACCATAACAAAATAATCAGTTGTATCGCTTTTTGTTAAAAAGAAAACTTAAATTTCACATGTTTTCCCAAAGCGTCGTCGCATGCAGGCACCTACCAAAACAGTTTGTGCCATTGCCAACAAATCCAACATTACAAGTACAGTTAAACGCTCCATTCTCCGTTGGAGTACAGGCAGCGTTGACATCACAATTGTTGTTTGAGCTTAAGAGGCACGGGTTTCCTGAAACAGCACCATTCAGAGTGTGGCTATGATGGTCATCTGATAACACACGTGTATTAACTGTATATTTATCTAAACAATGTGAGGCCAGTGTGTATGAAACATGAAATAGGTATCAAACCAATTAGTCGCTTTGATCTTAATTTATTTGCAGTAACATTATATGGATGAGGTTCATCGAATCGGTCTACACATGTAGGCACCTACCAAAACAGTTGGTGCCATCGCCAACAAATCCATCATTACAAGAACAAGTAAACGCTCCATTCGCCGTTGGAGTGCAGGCAGCGTTGATGTCACAATTGTTGTTTGAAGCAGAAAGGCACGGGTTCACTGAAACAGCATCATTTAGAGTGTGGTTATGATGGTCATCTGATAACATATGTATGTTCACTGTAACTTTATCTAAACTATGTAAAGCCAAAGTTTATGAAAGATTAAATATGTATCAAACCGAGTAGTCACTTCGATCTTTATTTATTCGGAGTAACCTCATAAGGATGAGGTTCGTGTGATTGTTCTGCATGTACAGGCACCTACCAAAACAGTTGGTGCAATCGCCAACAAATCCATCCTTGCAAAAACAGTTAAATGTGAAGACAATATCTATGAGGAATGAAATAGTTACCATAACAAAATAATCAGTTGTATCGCATTTTGTTAAAAAGAAAACTTAAATTTCACATGTTTTCCCAAAGCGTCGTCGCATGCAGGCACCTACCAAAACAGTTTGTGCCATTGCCAACAAATCCAACATTACAAGTACAGTTAAACGCTCCATTCTCCGTTGGAGTACAGGCAGCGTTGACATCACAATTGTTGTTTGAGCTTAAGAGGCACGGGTTTCCTGAAACAGCACCATTCAGAGTGTGGCTATGATGGTCATCTGATAACACACGTGTATTAACTGTATATTTATCTAAACAATGTGAGGCCAGTGTGTATGAAACATGAAATAGGTATCAATTCAATTAGTCGCTTTGATCTTACTCTATTTGCAGTAACCTTAAATGGATGAGGTTCATCGAATCGGTCTACACATGTAGGCACCTACCAAAACAGTTGGTGCCATCGCCAACAAATCCATCATTACAAGAACAAGTAAACGCTCCATTCGCCGTTGGAGTGCAGGCAGCGTTGATGTCACAATTGTTGTTTGAAGTAGAAAGACACGGGTTCACTGAAACAGCATCATTTAGAGTGTGGTTATGATGGTTATCTGATAACATATGTATGTTCACTGTAACTTTATCTAAACTATGTAAAGCCAAAGTTTATGAAAGATTAAATATGTATCAAACCGAGTAGTCACTTCGATCTTTATTTATTCGGAGTAACCTCATAAGGATGAGGTTCGTGTGATTGTTCTGCATGTACAGGCACCTACCAAAACAGTTGGTGCAATCGCCAACAAATCCATCCTTGCAAAAACAGTTAAATGTGAAGACAATATCTATGAGGAATGAAATAGTTACCATAACAAAATAATCAGTTGTATCGCTTTTTGTTAAAAAGAAAACTTAAATTTCACATGTTTTCCCAAAGCGTCGTCGCATGCAGGCACCTACCAAAACAGTTTGTGCCATTGCCAACAAATCCAACATTACAAGTACAGTTAAACGCTCCATTCTCCGTTGGAGTACAGGCAGCGTTGACATCACAATTGTTGTTTGAGCTTAAGAGGCACGGGTTTCCTGAAACAGCACCATTCAGAGTGTGGCTATGATGGTCATCTGATAACACACGTGTATTAACTGTATATTTATCTAAACAATGTGAGGCCAGTGTGTATGAAACATGAAATAGGTATCAAACCAATTAGTCGCTTTGATCTTAATTTATTTGCAGTAACATTATATGGATGAGGTTCATCGAATCGGTCTACACATGTAGGCACCTACCAAAACAGTTGGTGCCATCGCCAACAAATCCATCATTACAAGAACAAGTAAACGCTCCATTCGCCGTTGGAGTGCAGGCAGCGTTGATGTCACAATTGTTGTTTGAAGTAGAAAGGCACGGGTTCACTGAAACAGCATCATTTAGAGTGTGGTTATGATGGTCATCTGATAACATATGTATGTTCACTGTAACTTTATCTAAACTATGTAAAGCCAAAGTTTATGAAAGATTAAATATGTATCAAACCGAGTAGTCACTTCGATCTTTATTTATTCGGAGTAACCTCATAAGGATGAGGTTCGTGTGATTGTTCTGCATGTACAGGCACCTACCAAAACAGTTGGTGCAATCGCCAACAAATCCATCCTTGCAAAAACAGTTAAATGTGAAGACAATATCTATGAGGAATGAAATAGTTACCATAACAAAATAATCAGTTGTATCGCATTTTGTTAAAAAGAAAACTTAAATTTCACATGTTTTCCCAAAGCGTCGTCGCATGCAGGCACCTACCAAAACAGTTTGTGCCATTGCCAACAAATCCAACATTACAAGTACAGTTAAACGCTCCATTCTCCGTTGGAGTACAGGCAGCGTTGACATCACAATTGTTGTTTGAGCTTAAGAGGCACGGGTTTCCTGAAACAGCACCATTCAGAGTGTGGCTATGATGGTCATCTGATAACACACGTGTATTAACTGTATATTTATCTAAACAATGTGAGGCCAGTGGGTATGAAACATGAAATAGGTATCAAACCAATTAGTCGCTTTGATCTTAATTTATTTGCAGTAACATTATATGGATGAGGTTCATCGAATCGGTCTACACATGTAGGCACCTACCAAAACAGTTGGTGCCATCGCCAACAAATCCATCATTACAAGAACAAGTAAACGCTCCATTCGCCGTTGGAGTGCAGGCAGCGTTGATGTCACAATTGTTGTTTGAAGTAGAAAGGCACGGGTTCACTGAAACAGCATCATTTAGAGTGTGGTTATGATGGTCATCTGATAACATATGTATGTTCACTGTAACTTTATCTAAACTATGTAAAGCCAAAGTTTATGAAAGATTAAATATGTATCAAACCGAGTAGTCACTTCGATCTTTATTTATTCGGAGTAACCTCATAAGGATGAGGTTCGTGTGATTGTTCTGCATGTACAGGCACCTACCAAAACAGTTGGTGCAATCGCCAACAAATCCATCATTGCAAAAACAGTTAAATGTGAAGACAATATGAGGAATGAAATATTTACCATCTCAAATAGTCAGTTGTATCGCATTTTGTTAAGAAGAAACCTTAAATTTCACATGTTTTCCCAAAGCGTCGTCGCAAGCAGGCACCTACCAAAACAGTTTGTGCCATTGCCAACAAATCCAACATTACAAGTACAGTTAAACGCTCCATTCTCCGTTGGAGTACAGGCAGCGTTGACATCACAATTGTTGTTTGAGCTTGAGAGGCACGGGTTCACTGAAACAGCATCATTCAGAGTGTGGTTATGATGGTCATCTGATAACTCACGTGTGTTCACTGAAATTTTATTTGAACAATGTGAAGTCAATGTTTATGAAAAACTCAAAATGTATCAAACCAATTAGTAACATTGATCTTGATGTATTCGCAGTAATATTATATGGATGAGACTCGTCTGATCGGTCTACACATGTAGGCACCTACCAAAACAGTTGGTGCCATTGCCAACAAATCCATTATTGCAAGAACAAGTAAACGCTCCATTCGTCATTGGAGTGCAGACAGCGTTGACATCACAATTGTTGTTTGAGCTTAAGAGGCACGGGTTCACTGAAACAGTATCATACAGAATGTGAGGAAGATATTTCCCTAAAAAGACACCTCGTTTGCTCGGCAATTGTCGGTGAAAAACACAACTGATGTTTGAGGTAGAGAAGCATGGATTGATTGAAACAACATCAGCAGTGTGGGGTGAAGATAGTCACCAAGCAAGATATGTTGCTTCTAGGTAATACAGCTAAACAATGAGGTATGTTTTACGAGTAATGAAAATAAAATGTGCCATGACATAATTGTCACTTGGGTTTCAAATTGAATTTGATCACAGGATGATGATGTTGCAAAGAGTCTGAGCATGCAGGCACTCACCTACACAGGTCCCATTTGTACCACTGCCCAAGAAACCATCATTGCAAGCACAAGTAAATCCTCCAGTCCCCGAGGGAGTACATGTTGCATCATTGTCACAATTATCCATATTGGTGTTGCATGCATTTGCTGATAATACAAAATGAAGTTCAAAATTTATATTCAGATTAGGAATAATGTTAGAATGTGCTATGTAAACATTATGATCGTTTTCAAGTCTTTTTATTTCTTATAAGGTTTTGTTCCATTTTGTTTATCGATAATAAATGGTGACAGAATTCCACAGGATTGTCAACTGATACAGTTGGTTTAAAAACCAGTGTACAAACCAAACCTAATATTCATCATGTTGCTCTCTACATAAGAGGAAACTTGTTCCGAATATGTTGTATTTAGATATGTTATTGATTTATAAAATAGTGAGTAATTTGAGATTTAAATTTCTTTGAAGACTTACGGACAGAAAAGACATTTGTAACTTTAAAGGAAACGGGGTGCCTTAGATCTTTTCAGTTGACAGTCCACAAACGTGGACTCTTCTATTTTTGTAATGCTTGTTTGGGTATTTGCTGACAATGCACATATATCAAATTCTTTGGTGATTCTTGTCATTATGTGATATGAGTAAGTGAGTATAGTTTGACGCCGTTTGCAGTAGTATTCAAGCAATATCACGGCAGAGGACACCAGAAATGGGCTTCACACATTGTTCTCAAATGGAGAATCGAACCGGGTCTTAAGCATTACGAACAAACACTTTATCCAGTTGTTAAATCAGGAGAAACAGTTAGGGCTTTTGAAATGGAACACATACAACATTCGAGGAGCTCCACTATTTAGCATGTGTTGTCTTCAAATACTGCATTATGATCCAGGCTTTTCGACATTAACGCTATGCAGTTGTCATGGAAACGATGTAACATTCTCCTACTCACGAGGATTACAATTTCCCACAGTGCCATCTCCGACCATGGGTGGTGGGCACGTACATTCGAATGACGTGGGCGTGTCATTACAAGTCGCAGCTGGGTCGCAGTTGTCTGTGTTTTCTGTACACTCGTCGACAACTGAAATCAGTTAAATGAAAAGCTTAAAGCTTGTCCAACATTTTCACAAAAGTTTCCAAAAGAAAACAACACCTATCAACATATTATTACATGATAATTGAGAACTTCTATACGTGTCTAAACGCTGTCCGACTCACGAGGATTACAATTCCCAACAGTCCCATCTCCTACAAGGGGTGGTGTACATGTGCATGTGAATGAAGTTGGCGTGTCTGTGCATGTTGCAGAGGGATCACAGTTATCAGAGTTATCCGCACATTCGTCCAATACTGAAAAGAAATGAACAAAGTATTGAATTCGTAATTAATGTCAGCAAATAATATGTGAACTATAAACAAGCAATTCTTAGAAACTAAACATTTAAGTGTTAGTAGTTTACATTAAGGATGAAATATCTAAGGTTAATCAATTAACCGTCTCTATAACCTGTGCACATATTCCCTTGAGGTACGCTGGGACGGGTGGCCCAGTCGTCTCAGGTGGCGCAATTCGTTTTACAATACGCTGACATGCCAGAAACCTATTATTGAAGTTCGAATCCCAGTTCGCCCGGATTATGTTTCTAGTAGTGGCAGCAGCATATTACATCCCCCCCAAGCTCACACCCCGGGATATAACTGTAATATTGTTAAAAGCGACGTCAACCACAACTCACTTACTCACAGCCTTAAAGCTTTTAGACTGAAACTAAAAACAGTAACGGTTTATATTACACGTGTTGATTCACTCGGATTCAACTGCTTATACATTCCCATCACTGTAATCAAAGGGGCCTAAGAAACAAGTCCGATATTTATTTCTTCACATTACAAAATAATGTATTATAGAGATTGAACTATTTCACTACATCCGACGTCCCTAAAACCTAGACCAGTGGAGCACTCCCTACAACCTGAATAATGTTAGAGTTCTTTTAAGATCAGATTTGGGTCAAATATTATAACCGATGTTAACGTTACATTCCACTTCATTGTATCAGGCATTGTCTGTTATAGTGTTAACAGGAGTTATACCGTATTCGACGTAATAAGCGCCCCGCTCTAATAAGCGCCCATGGCGATATTTGCTGATATATTGGCTAGTGAATAAGCCCAATTAGCATCCCTTCCGATTGAACAATGTACACAATACTTATTTATTCGGTATAATACGCACACGTGTGTTGTATGCACCCTTAATTATGGGCAATTAAATTCTGGAAAAAAATATATGTCCACATAAACATTTCAGGCTGTCAGCACAAACCACGAAATTTATCTTTCAACTATGTTTTTTTTCACCAAAATTATATTCTAATAAGAGCCCCCATTTCTAATTTTGAGAGCGCCCTGGGCGCTTATTACGTCGAATGCGGTACTTGTCATGCTGGTACAAAGAGACTTGTACGAGAAGAAAGTAACACAAGTTGGGGTTGCGTCACGAATATTCCATTCAGTAACATAAGTGGAGTTTAGCAGTGGAGGGCATATTGGATGAACGGCGAATACTTGATCAAAATCAACGGGCACAACACTAAATGCATAATGTCTGCAAGATTTTCAACTTCATAATTGCAGCGGTTCAGCAATGGCTGTATCTAAGGGCTGTAGTATACGTTATAGTATACTGGCACAAGATTCATAATTGCAGTGGTTCAGGAATGGTTCTATCTAAGGGCTGTAGTATACGTTATAGTATACTGGCACAAGATTCATAATTGCAGTGGTTCAGGAATGGCTCTATCTAAGGGTTGTAATATACGTTATATTATACTGGCACAAGATTCATAATTGCAGTGGTTCAGGAATGGCTCTATCTAAGGGCTGTAATATACGTTATATTATACTGGCACAAGATTCATAATTGCAGTGGTTCAGGAATGGCTCTATCTAAGGGCTGTAGTATACGTTATAGTATACTGGCACAAGATTAATAATTGCAGTGGTTCAGGAACGGCTCTATCTAAGGGTTTTAGTATATGTTATAGTATACTGGCACAAGATTCATAATTGCAGTGGTTCAGGAATGGCTCTATCTAAGTGTTGTAATACACATTATATTATACTGGCACAAGATTCATAATTGCAGTGGTACAGGAATGGCTCTATCTAAGGGATGTAGTATACGTTACAGTATACTGGCAAAAGATTCATAATTGCAGTGGTTCAGGAATGGCTCTATCTAAGGGTTGTAATATACGTTACATTATACTGGCACAAGATTCATAATTGCAGTGGTTCAGAAATGGCTGTATCTAAGGGCTGTAGTATACGTTATATTATACTGACACAAGATTCATAATTGCAGTGGTTCAGGAATGGCTCTATCTAAGGGTTGTAATATACGTTATATTATACTGACACAAGATTCATAATTGCAGTGGTTCAGGAACGGCTCTATCTGAGGGCTGTAATATACGTTATATTCTACTGGCACAAGATTCATAATTGCAGTGGTTCGGGAATGGCTCTATCTAAGGGTTGTAACATACGCTATATTATACTGGCACAAGATTCATAATTGCAGTGGTTCAGGAATGGCTCTATCTAAGAGCTGTAACATATGCTATATTATACTGGCACAAGATTCATAATTGCAGTGGTTCAGGAATGGCTCTATCTGAGGGCTGTAACATACGCTATTTTATACTGGCACAAGATTCATAATTGCAGTGGTTCAGGAATGGCTCTATGTATGGGCTGTAATATACGTTATATTATACCGGCACAAGATTAATAATTGCAGTGGTTCAGGAATGGCTCTATCTAAGGGTTTTAATATACGATATATTATACTGGCACAAGATTCATAATTGCAGTGGTTCAGGAATGGCTCTATCTGAGGGCTGTAACATTCGTTATATTATACTGGCATAAGATTCATAATTGCAGTGGTTCAGGAATGGCTATGTCTAAGGGCTGTAATACACATTATATTATACTGACACATGAATGACTCTGTTAAAAGAGTGTTTGATCGACAACTCGACACAACAATTTGATATGATGGTATATGTTACTTGTAACACAGATGTTTTGAGTTCGATCACAGATCTGGTCGATGGGACAGCTGGAGACACAGGGCGGACCTGGATAAACAATGCATGTTATTCAATTTAAGCTTCATACATGTTGGTCATAGAATTACCAAACGATCAGATGTATCTAAATAAAATTATGATTTATTTATACATTTTCTACCATGAATTTAAGAAATATTCGATTTTGATTGTCAGTCAGGGGTATCAAATCATAAAAAATCACCCTCCGCGAAAGCTAATATTTTTGCAATAGTGTTTCGTTTACAGTCATTATCGGTGGGTATATAAACATATGTACAATTATATAGTACAAAATGCAAAGTTGTGGTTATCACAATATATATAATACAAAGGATGTGTGGCAATATATATCGTGCAGAAAACCGGATAGAAATCTTCAAAGGGAACGTATTTGGCAGAGTGCTTGCTCTATATACGACTGTGATGTCATATCTTTTGCGTCATAATGAGCGAATGACGTCATACTAGTGTCGTGAGGTGTAGAACATTACCTTTGCAAGGCTTGCTAAGTTTTGGTATTGCCTGTCATAAAATCG